TCTAGTTTTCTTATCTTATCATGCTAACCTTTATTGGACAATTGCCTTTCACTGACATCACTTCTTTTGGTATAATATATAAAGCTTATTTGTCATTTAAGTGTTTGGAACTGCGTGACCAGCACAAAAAATTACGTGCTTAATGGGACGGGACATATATAACTTTACCAAACGTTTCATCTGCACGGTCGCCAATTAAGCATAGTAAAACAACCGTAGGATTCTTTGTGTAAAATGTGGGCATCTAATTGTCCATTTGGCCGTTCAAAAAAGCCTGCTTTACCCCTAAATACCGGTCGCGTATTCGCCGACAGCAGTGTTATTGATCTGGTATAAAAATAAATGTGTATTCGAGAGATGCTTAAAAGTATACAAACAGTATACAAACACATTGCGATTCATGGGTAGGAAAATAAAACTTGAATGAAATTTTCACTTGCATGGTGTAAGCATACATACATTTGTGTTTACTGTTTAAGTGTCCGAAGTAATTTAGACATAAGGCATTGATTTGTAAATGGCCGTCCGGACGCTTAAGTGCGCCCACCGATATGAATATTGGCAGTTCGAACTAACGCGTAAAAACCCGGATCGCTCAATAACCGGTGATTGGGCCACTTCCAGTAATCCGATTTTCTGACTGAATGCAGTCGTGGTGGCGAATGAGATTTCAAGTGGCGGAAAGTTCCATAGACCATTAATTACATCATAATCCTGCGAACAAATATTCGTCGACCAAATGTTTCCACAATAAAAATGTGTGTGTAAAAGGCGGACTTATTGGCTTTTGTGGCAAAAAAAGCCTGTGGTTTTTCAGTTGTAAGACTCACTCAGTGAATATACAGAATTTTGACGTAGTACTTGATGCTACACGATTTTCCATTTCGCGAAAAATAGTTTTCACCAACATACAATTTTTTTTCTTGGCTCATTGAATAGTTCAGCGATCGCGTATGAGTCCGGAGTATATTTAATTAAACGATTATCAAAAAATACATATGCTTTAAAAAATAATCTCCTCTAAACGGTCAAATCTGAAGTGGACTTGGCCGACTCCGAAAACAGCAAGATAAAGTAAGACACATCTGGCATTTTTACGTTCTACATTTTTTCTTACTTACGTTGTTGCTAAATGCCGTTAAATTGACAAGCTTGGCTGATTACTTCGTCAACCCAGGCGACGGACCGTTGTGCTCTGCATAACACAAATACAAAAAGAAGAAAATATAAAACGTTGTTTTAAAAGGAAAAATGGTTTGGAAAGTAGAATAAAATAGTTTCGCAGGCAGTTTATAACAAAGAAAGAGATCATGTTTTCCAAACGCAAATACAGCATAGGCGAAAAAACCACTTTGGCGGTAAATCTTTTTAACGGATGCTTAGATCTTTGCAGTAACAGTTTAATTAATAAAGTCAAGCAACGGTGGATGAGCCTCTAAAGCAGTTCTTCCAGCTCTGTGTATAAGGTCCCCTTTTACTCAAAGGCCGAACTGAGTTTCTCCTTGCCTTTTCGACCAACGCCTCGTTAAAGTAACCGGCTAACAAGCTGTCTTTCTCGCCGTTTTCAGTACGTGCCTCTCCGTGGCGGTTTGTAAAGCTTGAAATAGATTCTTAAGACACAACAGGACGGGTGAGTTCCGTAAAAACGATCGGTGAGCGCCCTTCCTCCAACCGATCGCAACCGACAGGGCAACGATCCCGTGTCTTAATGGTTAGAAACATTGTAGTTTTAACCAACACGTTGACGTATCGAGCCCCTGGTGTTCCAGACTTAAGGCTAGGGCGTGACTGACTGACGACGGCTCGTCCTTGTCAGTAATGTTACTCTGACTGTAAATACGGTAAGGCAAGTCATGTCACTCAAATCTCCGCTAGAGCCTCGCTTTACTTGAAACGTCCGGACAATGCAATAATGTTTCCAAAAAAGCACTTTTTCCTTCCAATCCTCTTCTGTGGGTAAGCCCCTGTATTAACAATTGCTGTGTTACTCTCTGCGTGCCTTCGTATAAAGCCCCAAAGTACAACAGGACGAACATATGTGCTTAGCATGCACACTTTGTATCTAATTATTTGCTCGATACCCTTGTTTGGGGATAAATAATTTAGAGAGCAATTACCGTTATTTTGCATTGGCTCAAATGTATTTTCTATACCGTTTGACATCCAATTTTTGTTCTGTATTCTCCCAAGGAAAAGCATGCAACAAGTTCTAACCTGACTTTTTGGACCCACTGATGCTGATAAAATTCCCATATTAGGCAATTTTATCTAAATATTTCCTTGTTAAGACGTAAGCTTTTGTCCGTTCGGTAGAGCAGACGCGCAAGTTAATGAAATCTTAGCCAAATTTCTTGATTATGTTTTCGATTTGAAAAGGTTACTTAAGTACGGTTGTTATGCTAATTATCCTTAAATATTTCAGTCACCCTGCAACGCCAGCTCTCAGATGGACTTCTTTTTGACCGTCCACAAAAACTAAACCTTGTAGAAAATGGCTTCTATTTGTGCCCTTATATATTGAAATATAATGTTAGGGGGCGCTCACTGATCGTTCATACGGAACTCACTCGTTCCGTTGTGCCTTAAGGGCTCTCTCTCGAGCCCAACCAGCAGCCGCACAGCGGCGCATGATATATAGGCAGAATGATATTACCGACAAAGACAAGGGAGACTGGAATGGCCATTTCTGGCTTATTAGCCGTCGTCAGCCAGCCATACATATTGAAATATGTATATTGTACAGGAAACACGCAGAAAAAGACTTTTTCTTTCACTTTTCTGATAACAAATAAATTCTTCTTAACACTTCACATCTGAAGATGGGGTATCATTGTGTTCGCCAAAACACTTATTTTTTTAAGCTAACTCTTAAATTCACGTCCCTATCCTTAATACGAGGTTTCCAGTCCACACGTTGCGTTTATTTCGTCAAAGGACTACAGAATATACAATAGGTGTGCTAACTCGCTAAATGTTAACTGAAATTCCAAAGTGCGCTCTCGACCCGAAATGATTAATTAGGAAACATTATTCATTGTGCACCATAACCCTATACTATATCGGTTACTACAGAATGCTGCCTTATGAAGAAGTTTCTTTTCGGTGGTCTGCGAAGAACTAAACTCACTCAAGAATGACTTCTTAAAGAGCAGGGATTTTTTTAATGATATTCGATGCTCTTATAAATTTAAATATCTCTCATTGAAAACATGTCTACAGCATTCATTATCACACACATTTCGCAACAAAATACGCGTTCTTTGAATTTTATACTTGAAGGAAGGGCATGATTCAATATAAGTATGAAATTTCAAAGGTCGTGAAATACACTTTCTAAAAACAAAAAGTTTGTACATTTACAAATGTTACCTACGAAGTCCACAATATTTCTCAAATCCATTGTTAACTTTTTGAACCCCATCGAAATTTTTTTTTCGCGTTCATTGAAAACCTATGGTTTGTAGTTCGTAAACCCCAAATGGCTGTCTAACGTCAGCTAGGGTTCAAAATTATTCACGAGTGGAAACGTCTTTTAAAATGGAACTATGACCTTCCGTCAGGTGTCATATTTGAAAAGACGAAATTTTTACCAAACGATTAAAAGAATAAATATTTTTACGAATTTATTCTATGAAATATACCCAAATTTATAAGGACATCAAAATCAGTGAAAAAATATGTTAAACATGTAGTCATTGCCACCAGATTGTAATTTTTGCATAGTGCCAGAAGGAAGTTCGTTCAGAAGCCGGTATTCTGAAGTTATTTCGTTATCATGGGATTGTGCTGCATGGTGACTAATATAAAAAACCCTACTTAAAAATTCTTTCTAAGTGGACAATGCATTTCAGGATTTGGGCTAACAATTTATGAGTAAGCACATCCGCTGCATCTTCATTCTGTTAAGAGGACATCATGCAGGACTTCTAAAGTTGGGCAATAGATGTGGTCGAAGTTGCATGCCTCCTGAGGAAGTTAAAAACGTGCTGACGCGATGCTGCTTGTACAGATATGTCGTGGTCTTAAAAACGCTCGTTATTACAAACTTTTTAAAATCTAAGACATATTTTCCCTTCAAGGTAAACATTTTTAAAAAAAAACCAATTTGCCACCAAGTGTAGATAAAAAAGAACACTTTTTGCATATGTATTTATATGATGTATTTGAATTTATGTTTGCATGGAAGATCAGCACGGTACCATTTAAATGGTAATTTTTTGCATAATACAGCTTTGCAAGCAGCCAAAATGAGGCTCAGTTAAATGCTAAAATCCTGGCGTGACTGAGACATCTTTGAAGTATGCTGTGCGATCACGACTTAAATAGATATTTGGACATCTCATTCACAGCTCGTTATTCATAAGCGGTTCGTAAACACTAATTAAAGCGTTTTATTTGCTTTTTAGTTAAGTCATAACCGCCAGCTTAATTTTATAGCTTACAAGGTCAAACACAGTAAAGTCCAAAAAGGCAAATTTAAAGCTGCCTTGACCTCGTGCCCAACGACGAACTAAAAGCAGTCTGTGTTCGTTTTGCGTTTAATCTTATTGGGCAGTTCCCTACTGGCAACCTTGTTCGGCCATCTTTTATCACTGCCTTTAAATATAGACTAGTAGATAGCTAAAATGCTATCTTGAGTATGTTGAACGATGTCTACGGCCGAACATCGAGCCCTTTGTTGCCTAACAACTGCAACCACTTAGTCATTTATTGGCAAACAAAATAGTCAGATTTAAGCTGCCTTTCAGCTTAAACACTGCTCAATGAGGAAGGAAAATGTCCTAATAATATGTTATTTACGAGAAGGTTGCGCGCAGGTTTGATTAGAAATTTAGAATCCGAGTGTTATTTATCGCAAGTTGTCTTGGTTATACAACTGGATTTCGGTTTTGCAAAGTATGTTTCCAACTACCTGTATGTGCTACTTTTAAACGATTTACTTGAGCAGAGATTAGATGGAAAGCGCAAATTTTTAAAACCAACAAAGAAAACTTATGTATTCACCCGCATCGTTTACTAGCGTCCTCTCCGTCAAAAGTGGTTTTACAGCCAGCGCTGTTCTGATGCCTTTCCGTCCTGGGGAACTTTTTGATCGCGGGTTTGATCTTCATAGAAGACTGAGCAGTTACCTTCACGCTGCTAACACTGCGGTCTGCATTCTCGTAGGACGGTTCTGCACATATCTCCTCTTGACTGGAAAATAAAACACGCTTCTGCAAGGAGGGCCGCTCGGCCGCTGTGTGTACTTCCACTGCACGCGTCGTCTGCGCCGACTGCTCAGTTACCTCATCGCTGTTGTAGCCAACGTGGCACGGCTCCTGCTCCACTTCCTCTTGTCTCGCCCTGCCCTCCTCATCTTTCTTTGCCACCACCTCCTCTTCGCCCTTGCTTTCACCTCGTCTCTCAATGGGGCGGTAGGCCTTTCCCAGACGATCAGTGGTGGCGGCATCGGCCACAATGTAGTTCCATTTGACAGACGGCAATTTATGGTAGACGGCAGACTGGTCGTCCTGCGTGGCCGGATGTTGACATCGGTCTGTCGTCGAATCACCGCCCGACTTGACGTCGGCCAAATGTTCGCTGGCAGTTGAAAGGAGTCTTTCCGACTGCGGTTTCACGGGCAGCAGGGCCCTAGGCAGAGTCGGCGCGGGCGGTGGCGGTGGTGAGGAGCGGAGTGAAATTTGCGCAAGACTGGTTAGCAGGGAAATCTTTGCATCCGTCGCCTCCGCCTCCGCCTCCTCATCGTCCTCTCCACTTACCCCGGTATCCGGGTCTGCTGAATGCCTGCGGCGGGGTGGTTCAGAGGGATCTCGTTGATTCTAAAATCCCAGAGTTAAGACTTTAGTAGTCCTTTTTTTCTTTTGAGTTCAATTTAAAACATGTGAGATGTTATTTTCTGTCTTATTCACTCGTTTAACTGGCAAGATTTCTTAAACGCTTCGTTATTATGCTGCCTTCTGAAACGTTGAACTAATCGACTATCAGATTATGTATCCCCCAAAACAGTCGGCCAAGAGGCGGTGTTCACCAATTTATCTAAATTGTAAGAGAGAGAGAGACAGCTTACTTTTGCTGGCCGCTGTCGGTTAATTCCAGATAAAAGGCGAATAGGAAATAGCTATTCCTGTCCTGTAATCAGAAAAGATTGGCTGATGCGTCATATAAGCGGCTTGTATAGATAAAAAGTGCATGCGCACAAGAGTTCAGGGCATTTGATTAAACGAAGAGAAAACGCTGTGATTTAATTTGAGCTAGTGGTTTATATTTTCAATCTTCCAGGCTTGGATTTATAGCATGGTTGTCTATCAGCGGTCACTCTTAGTTTTTCACAATGTGCTTCGAGTGAAATTTTGGAAAAAAATATTGAATGGTGCAGTCAGTGCGTAAATAATACCTTTGTGACAACTTCAACACAGTGGCATCCTCAATACATATATATATATATATTTACAGCTAAAATTCATTTTCATAAATTGGCACTTTTTACACTGAATTGGAAGTTGTCTTATTACGTAGCTGGTAATATGCACTAATGCTTTCATAATACGGAGTTCACGACTTATAAAATCTAATATTAATAACACCACAACATGTCACCCTCAGCAATCATCTGGGGAAGATTGCTCTCACTAAAATACATGAAATTCATCCTAGTACAGCAATTTATCTGAGTACAAATCATCCAAAAGTTGGCTTAATTGAGCATCTATGTCAAAACGCTTCAAAGTTTAACAAAAAAAATATATTCTTCTTTTTTGCCGATTTCCGGTAGGCATCTAACATCCCAAAACAAATACGGCTTACAGTGACAAAAGCTACCGAAAAAGTCCCCCACGCCGGAAACAAAACAGGCGGAGAATTGATTGAAACCTGGGTCTCAGATGAGAACTCGGTCAATCGAGTTATCGATCCGGTGGCAACGTACAGAGCCCTGTGTAGCACCTCCAGTATTGCGCCTCTGACGATGGACTCCTGTACAAGTCTGAAAGATCAGGACAATAACCACCGTGTTCCGGTTCTCGACTCTTCTTCTTCACTTATGCATACGCCTGGAAATCGAAATTTCGCCTTCATTCGTGAAAACGTCCGACGCGATGCGCTTCGGACAGCTCACAGCTGGGAGTTATTCTCTATACGAGAGGCCGCAACATGTGAACATTTACGTTTTCTGCACCGATGTCTTCAAGACGAACTAACCCCCGATGCCTGAGATATAAAGCTCCCGTTAATACGGCCACACTCTCGGCGATCCTATCGGCGCAGATGAGGGGAAGCCGATCTCCACTCTGGCACACCACAGGCAAGCCAAGAAGAGAGAAGTTTTGGAACGGAAATTGACTAAGCTAAAACCGTTAGGCACAGAAAGCTCAAACTTGGTCCACAAACTCTCGTCTAAGCAGCAACTACGAGTGTTACAACATGTAACTTGCTTCAACACTACAGACGCCGATCCTGTCGACTTCATTGCATCCCTGGAAGCTATGCTTGTGAGAAGTGAAACATCCGAGGGCATGAAACACTCCGTCTGACAGCGTGTTACCTCCTTGCTGATGACACACAGACCAACCAAATGTATTTCGCAGGGTGAGTCAAAGGCTATGGGGGAACTGAGCAGGGACGACAGCATTTTCATTCTACCTGCTGACAAGGGACGATCAACGGTCGTGATGGTTAGAGAAGATTATAATGAAGAAGCTAAAGCCCTTTTCGATGACAGAGAATTTTACAGACCAGCACAGAAGTCACAAGCCAAAGCAGTGGCAGATCGGCTGAGTAAACTGCTTAGATAATACCGACATAAAAATGTGATCACGGAGAATGAAGGGCACCAAAGGAGGGCAACTGACACCGCTCTAGACCGATTCTATGGTCTGCCAAAAATCCATAAAGCAAAAGTTCCAATTCGGACAATCGTTGCCCAAAAAGGCAGCCTCATCTACAATTTGGCAAAATGGATGCACTGAAAGCTGAAGTTCCTCCAAGGCAATTCGATTACCTCAGTTCGATCAGCCTCTCAACCCCTCATAGACCTCCGAGGTCGGAGAATTCAATCGGACGAAATCATGGTCACCTTCAATGTGACGTCGTTATTCACGTCCATCCCACCAAACGTGGCCCGCGAAGTCTTGCGAAATAGACTTGAAGAAACGTAAGATGCGACTCAGAATGCCCTCAAAATTGAGCACCTCATGAGGCTGTTAGGGTTTTTGCCAACAAACTTTCTTCGCTTTTGCGGGAGAGACCTATGAACAAATCAAGGAAACCCCAATGGGCTCACCGGTCTCGGGTTTGGTGACAGAACTGGTCCTACAGGATTTAGAACAGACTACCTTCCTCCAAAATGAACCGGTGTTTTGGCGCCGTTACATTGACCAACCGTTCGTCGTCGTTAAGGAGGACATGCTGCAACATTTCCACAGCCTGCTCAACGCAGTTTTTCCTGATATAAAATTCACGAGGGAAGAAGAACAGGAACAACATTTGCCCTTCCTGGATGTACTTGTCAGATGAAACCTTAACGGTGAACTTGAAACGACGGCTTATAGGAAGGCAGCGAACACCACAGCAACCATCCGTCGTCTCACAAACAAAGCTGTATGACGACGCTCTTTAAACGGATCCAAACTCACTGCAGCAAACTGGAGGACAGAGCACGTGAGGCCCGTTATCTCCGCGACCAGTTTGTGCAAAATGGCTATTCGAGGGCATTCAAAGGTCGCTGCCTACGCGGTCGCCACCAAAGAACTCGAACATCAACGCCACCAACGATATGACATTCTCTGCCATACATCAAGAGCGTTTCAGAAGCGACTGAGCGCATTGCTGCGGAGCTAGGTGTTGGAATTGCACACCGCCCCAAAGCCACCATGCGCAACAGGGCCATGAAGATCAAGGACCGGTTAAAACCTGAAGAGCAATCTGGAGTAGTGTATCGCATTCCGTGTCAAAATTGTCCTTGTAACTACACAGGACAGACTGGACGCATGCTCGGATCGCGCATACACGAGCATAAGCTGGCTGTGCGACAAGGCGACGCATTATCCCAAGTGGTCGCTCACACCTACGAAATGGGTCATGAGTTTGACTTCGCAGCTAACAAAGTAGTCGCCCACGCCGGAAACAAAACAGGCCGAGAATTGATTGAGAACTCGGTCAATCGATTTATCGATCTGGTGGCAACGTACAGAGCCCTGCGTAGTCACCTCCAGTCTTGCGCCGTCGGTCGACGATAAGCCTGCATGCCTTATAATTGTCGCTTGCTCTGCTGCAGCTGCTGTTACCTCTGACGATGGACTCCTAAACGAGTCTGAAAGCTCAGGACAATAAACACAGTGCTACGGTTCTCGACTTTTCTTCTTTACCTCTTCATCCTGGGAGTGTATGGACCCACAATAATGCATTCAAAAGCGTTTTTTTAACTGCATGCTCGCTTGTATTCTCAGAATCATTAATTGTATGTAAACGCTTCAAGCCTTAGGTGTGAATTGTGATCATTTGTCCGTCGTTGTTAGTATGTGTACCATTACACAAAATATTCGCTCGCGGATATTTAAATGAGATAAAAAGCAGTTAACCCCAAAGAGAAAATATAGGGGTTTTATTACTACCGTTGGTAGCCTAAGAAACAAGCTGGTTAACTGTTGCCGAAATCATTTAGAATAAAAAAAATCGCAATTGTTCGAATTGTCTCTATCGGATGTGTTCGCCTGAATGGCTGATGAAACACCACAGTCTAGAAAGTCCGGTCCAGTCTCACATGTCTTTGTCGGTTGTTCATTCATAAAAGCACCCGCTTAGGGATTTCACACTAAAACGCTCGCCAAACATGATGTGTAGTCATTTGCGTATGGAATCAACTTGCAGTAGGTGGGCTTACTCATGAAGTGATAGGGGCGCTCGATCCGTGAGAGTTCGAGTCTCGGGTATGCCACACTTCGGGGTTGGGTATGACCGGCTGACGACGGCTAATAAGCCAGAAATGGCCATTCCAGTCTCCCTTGTCTCTATCGGTAATGCCATTCTTAATCATGAAGTGCCAACCTAAATTCCGAAATGCGTTTTCGTTTCGAAGATATTGAGTAGAGTTGTAAAACTAGTCAATCTTCAGCATAGTTCTATAATACTTTAGTTACGGCTGGACGTCGCCTTTCAAATGAACTTCCTTTCGGCCGCATGGAAAAAACTACACAGTGTTAAAAACTACTACTTTTTTATATAAGACGTTGCCGCGCTCTCGTAATTAGAAGGAATGCACAAGAGGTGTAACTCATGAAATGTCCACCGAAATTCCGAAATGCGTTTTCGTTCAGAAAGATTAATTAAGTGGGGTTGTAAAACTAGTCAGTCTGTAGTATAATTCTATAATAATTTAGTTACTTCAAGATGCCGGCTTTCGAATGGTCTCCCATCCGTCTGCTTACAATGACTGTACTCTTTAAAAAATGACTACTTAGATAGCATGTATTTTTCTCATTGATTTTCGATGTCCTTAAGTATTCAATTATATGTCATGAGAAACAAACATACAAATATTTATTCTTTTGCTCATTCGATGGAAAATAACGTTTTCTTTCAATTTTATACTCAAAGAAAGGACATAATTCGGTTTTAAAAAGTGTCTAATTGTGGAACTTTTTAATACCGTAAAATGGCAGTTCATAAGACGTCATGTTTTTGCATTTACCAATGCGGCTTGTACAGTTAAAACTATGCATACAATCCAATGCAAAATCCTATGAACCCTATATGGTCTTTTAATACTGTAGAGAAATGTGTGGTTTTCTTTACGCGGAAATACATAACTTGTGGTTTGAATACCCCGAGTGCAAGTTTGACGGCAGATCGGGTTAAAATTTTTTCGGGAATTGCAAAACTATTTGAACACCGAATAATACCCTTCTTTCGAACTGTAGATTGCAAGAAGATGTAGTTTTCTATCGAATGATCGGGAAAATGAATGTTTTTATGCATGTTTTCCATGAACTATAGTTGAAGACTTATAGGCATCGAAAATCATAAAGTAGTCATTTTTTACATAGTATAGTTTTCGGATTCAGTTGGTTGGAAGTTTTTTTGAAAGCTGGCATCCTGAGTTAACTGGCCTATTATATAATTATACTACATAGTGATAAGTTTTACAACCCTACTGAATTACTCTTTTCAAAACGAACACTAACTTCGTATTTTCGGTTGCCATTTTATGAGTTAGCTCACCTACTGTAGCCCTATGCTATTATCAGCATTTATTCCTATCTTTGCTGGGGCGTATCACTCGGTAAATTATTTCTCCTAGAACAGCTTCTTTGTTGTTGTGACCAGCCTTCATGACTAGTCTAGCGTCATTGGTCATCGTCTGTCTGCCACAAGGTCATTCACCCCTTGCACCGAACCGTTACGGAGGCGCTGACTTGAAGCCACTCGACCGACCTCAGCTCGGGCATATCTGCGTCCACACATAGTTGGAACTGTCCATGCGGCCACATAAACGCACCTCACCCCCGCCCTGCAACCACAACCTAAACTACTGAGAAACCACCCCTAGGCAAATATACAGTGAGTGACCGATCTCATAAAATGTTAGCTGAAATTCTGAAATGCGTTTTCGATTAGAAGGGTTTCTTGGTCGCGGTTGTAATACTGATTATCTTAAGGCATACTTTTATAGCATATCGGACTCGGCAGGGTGTCGGCTTTTAAATGTACTTCTTTTAAATCTCCTATAGAAAGCGTACTTGGTAAAAAAAATGACTACTTGACTAACATGCATTTTCCCATTGATTTTCGATGGGTTTGCAAATTAAAATATATTTTATAGAAACAATAAGCAAACGTATGCTTTCTTTTGGTCAATCAATAGAGAACCACGTCTTATTTATATTTTATACTAAGGGAAGGAGTATAAATAGGTTTTAAAAAAGTTTCTAATTATGAGTCCTTTTATGACCGCGAAATGTCCATTCACATAGCATCGTACCTGGACGTTTACCACTGCTCCTCATGAAATTTACAACATGGTCCACATCCATTGCAAAATTTTATTGACTCTGTATGATATCTCTTTAATGGCATAGAAAAATATGTAATTTTTTTACGCGGACCGCATGCGCCTTGTAGAGTGAAATCACTAAGCGCTTATGCAACCAATGATTAGGCTTCAAGTTATTCGGCAATTAGAAAACTTTTTAAAAACCTACCTATACTACTTTCTTAAGTATAAAATATAAAAAGGACGTGATTCTTTATTGTTTGACTAAAGGAAAGTGTATTTTAGTTAATGTTTTTTATAAAATATATTTAAAGTTGCAAGACCATTGAAAATCAATGGGAAAATGCATGTTAATTAATTAATCATTTTTACCAAGCACGCTTTCTACAGGCGATTTAAAAGAAGTGCATTTAAAAGGCGACACCCTGCCGAGTTCGACATGTTATGAGAGTATGCCTTAAGATAATCAAGATTTTACAACCGCGACCAAGTAATCCTTCCTACTCGAAAACGCATTTCAGAATTCCAGCCAACATTTCATGAGATAGGTCACTCACTGTAACACACACTGACTGGGACCACTCCAGCTTGGCCCACGAGCCTACAAGAGCAGCTGCCACTATTTTCTCGGGACTCTCAAGCATGACTGGAGGCTGTCAACAGCAGTCCTTGCCTTGCAAGCGGGCACTGCCGCCTGACTATGTATACGTTAAACTTTTCAATCTGGCTACTCTTATCTTTTTCTACAACTGAGAATTAGGCCTGACGATTGTTGTGCAGAGATTAAACACGCTCCCACCGCCCAGCCGCATCATCGTCTTCTACCGATACTGCCCCCCCCGGTTGACAAGGCAACGACATCTCTACCTACTGAAAAAAGTCCTCTGGCGCCATTCTTTCAGACTCCAATTTTTTTCATGGACAGAAGTCAGTGAAAGGACTCCCTCCGGTCACCGGATGTGTTCTAGTTATTCAGCATTTTACTACGAAAAAACCACCCGATTGCTCCCAGATAACACAAGCGGTTCTGTTTCCCATCAACCGGACACGACACTTACGTTTTCACAGAGTAGTTATGGAACACGTTCACTGAGGCGTCGACGATGGCGCAGCAGAGGCTATTGCAAACGAGATGCTTGGACAACCGCGGGAAGGCTATAGTGAGGACCAGAAACGAGGACGATTATAGCCTTCGGAGTGGCACACGATCAACTGTCACATTGTTAAGGATCAGCTTAATACCTGAAATCACGTGAAGCATATGCGCACTCGACTCCGGTCCCCAATGACAACGCGGCAGATAAGGAGAACACGATCGGCCACGAAAAAGTGTATTATGAAACTGCAAGTGAAGTCTAACTGGGGAAGTAGTGCGCATTTATAATACTCTACTGGGATTCTCCTGAATTCTGCACAGTGCACTTCGAGAAGAAAATTATAGACGGACTGATCGATTACTAGCATACACGGATCGATTATTCTCGAGGAGAGCAGCCAATGGCGAAGCGCCACGATCATGCTGACAGCGCACAAGAGAAAGCGCACGTGACCTGCAGTGATTGACTGCCTCTTGTTTTTGGGAGTGTAGGCACTCTGAACAATCGCCATCTTCATAGGGGATTGAAAGCTCGGTCAAAGGTTATGATCTTTCTTGACTTTACCTCAGAAAGAGGAAAAGTGCATGACAATTAAATGCGCTCAACAGTTGACGGACCTTATGTCAGAATTAGGTGAGGACTTTGCGAAATCAATTAGCTAATTTTCTAGGCAGATCACCCCTGTAGCGGTAATGGGAGGGGCGTTATTAAATGGGTCTAACGTAACTTTTTCTTTAAGCTATAGGACGGTTGCAGTTGTTGTTTTGAATGGCCACAAAATGAGCTTTTGAAGAAGCGTTTAGAAAAGGTGACAGATGGGCAAACGTTCTCTAATTATCTGCAGCGTATTCCTCGCGCATTGTCGCTGCGGACGTCTCTTTTTACCAGCAATAAAATTGTATGTCTGGTTGAATATTCAAGTATGCTCCAAACGAACATTTGCGTAAAAAATACACAAAAACTGGCTGAGGAGCTGTAGGATGACAGTAGTTTGATTTCAAACATTCTGCTTTAATCTGTAAGCATGAATACCAAATCTGAAGTCTGTCTAATTTTGCAAGATTACCAACCCAAATGTCAGCCAAACAAACTTGCAGGTGTATGTGAATGCAGCACTGCAAAGTCTCGAAATGACAACATGAGGTCGGACTCGGAGGCGTGAGACCCCTTGTGCTGAGTGTTCCTATTCTCTTCTCTTAACTTTAGCCCTAACCCTAAACCTAAAACTTACGCTGACCAGAAGATGAAGATGCGATCACTGAGACAAGAAGTTTATTTGCCTGACGTTTCGGATTCTCACTCGAATTCATCATCAGAGACACTCGCAGATAGAGGTGAAGGTGGCACCAGGAGTGCAGTATTTATAGCACGTGGCTGCCGTGGGACCGTATGCGCACTCGGATTCGAGTGAGAATCCGAAACGTCAGGCAAATAAACTTCTTGTCCCAGTGATCGCATCTTCATCTTATGAAATGCTACCTGGGACTCGCCTGTTCGCTTCTATCAGCAACATACGATAACCTTCAATAAACCTAAGCCATCCTACAACTGACCATGAGCGGTCGATAAGGAATGCTAAAAGTCGCAAAGACCACCGATTTTTTAAATAAATTAGTACTTTGTGACCAACACGGTCACTAAAAGTTACTAAATACTCTTAATATAGGAACGTCTTCCTAATATATTTAATATTCTATGTTTGGTATTGCAATGGCTGATTCTGTTTAACTTGCGTAGGCTCCCAACATGTAATATTATACATATGCTTATGTTTTTCTCGTCCCACATTCTTTTAGTCGACCGCACCTCAACCAATAAAAGCAGCACAAAAAAATATGGCGATTTTTTTATGAAAACGTTTTTTTAAATCTATACTTAAACTGTAGGCTGTTGGCCTACCGTTGCACGCGATATGACAATAATTCCAACAGGATGTTACAGCGCAAACGTCGATTGACCATTTACATGCAGTAGGTGATCTTACTCATGAAATGTAAACCGAAATTCCGAAGTGAGCTTTACTTCCGAATGATTAATAAGGAAGGGTTGCAAAACTAATCATCATGCAGCGTAGCACTTCTGTTACCTCAGAATGCCCGCCTTTAGACAAACTTTTTTAGGGCTTCATGCCGAATCCAGACTCTGTAAAAAATGACTACTTAAGTGGTATGAATTTTTTTCATTGATTTTCGGTGCCATTAGAAATGCACTTATATTTCATGGAAAACATGAATACAAATATTCATTATCTTAACCATTCAGTAGACAATTACATCCCCTTTCCAAGTTCATACTCGAAGGAAGGATATAATTTGGTCTTTAAAAAAGATTATAATTGTGAGATTTTTTAGTCCCGTGAAATGCTCTCCATAAAACGTCATGTCTTTGCATTTAGCATTGTAGCTTGTTAAGTTAACAATATTGCTTAAATTCACTGCTAAAATTCATTAACCCCATATGGTCTTCTTTTAATACTATGCAGAAATTTTTGGTTTTACATATGTTGAAAATATACGGCTTGTCGTTTTGAAACCCTGAATGGAAGTGTAACGGCAGGTCGGGTTCAAAGTTACGCGAAAATTTAAAAACATTTTAAAGTCGAATTGTTCCCTCCCTTGATGCAGAACATTAGACGTAGACGTCATTTTTTACCGAATGAATAAAAGACTGAATATTTTTATTAATGCTTTCCATGAAACATGCTTGAATTTCTAATGACTTCGAAGCCGGTAAGAACAATTCATACAACTTAAGCAGCCATTTTATACAGAGTTTGGATTCTGCGTGAAGCCCAAAGGAAGTTGGTTCGAAAACAGGCACCCTGAGGTAACTGAATTCTTGTGGAATAATGCTACAGGAATATTAGTTTTACAACCCTTCTTAATTAATCTTTCCGAAACGGAACGCATGTCGACTTTTCGACTGGCATTTCATGACTTAGCACACCTGCTGTACGTTGTGCTACTTGTGTCTTTTAAGCTGTTAGTTATTTACAAAAACAAAACCTTTTGACGTATTGAGAATTTCGCTTGTCCTAAAATAATTGTTATTTCCAAGGAGAGTCGTATTAATTTAACTATTTGTTACATGTTTCCACAATACTTTAGGTCTTTCATTATCGATAGGGTGCTCTATCCCATTTATTTGGGCAACCTTGGGTAAAGAGAGAGATATTTTGCAAGGTGGGGCATATTTTCTAAGATAACGTTGAAACCGTTACCGTGTTAACTACTATGCGACCGGATGCCCAACACAGGTTTCGGAGAGAGCATAAGAAACTGACGTATCTGGAAAGAGACAAACGCTGACAGTCGATAGAGTTTGATTCATTAAAAACCTCTAATGGCTATGTAAGACAGTATCATATTGTGCATTCTGCGGCCAACGAACAGTATGACATATGTTGGCGCTGTTTTTACAGAAATATGCGTCTGTTTTGGGCCTTAATATTGCATAACTACGTAGATCAGCTTGCTAAGTTGGATATGAAACAGACTGATCAGGGTTTCTGCAAAATCTGAGGAGATGGATCTCAGGGACATTTCTAGCAGCTGACATTAAACCCTATTTTGCAATGCAAAACTTAGTAAATTGGCGTAAAAATATAAGACCGACGGTAATCTCTAAAAAAACATGGTTTATGTTGAAAAAGGCGGTAATTTGATGTGACATAAGTAGTCCAACATGATTTTGGGAATATGACCAGAATAATCTGCCAATGGTATTCGTTGTTGCATAATAATAATAATTGGTCACGATACTGTTGCCCTGTCAGTTGTGATCGAGAATATTAATCGTGACAAACACGTTCCGTAGCCTGATCGGTGAGTGCCCATATGTCGTGCTTTATATTCCCGATCACAATGACAGGACAACGGGCCCGTGGCTCAATAGTAGAATGTCAGTCCTCGGATCCTAATTGATCCACGTTTGTGGTGGGGTATGGCTGGCTGATGACGGCTCATAACCCATAAAGGGCCGTCCCGGTCTCCTTGTCTTTGTCAGCTACATGCCATTTATAAACATGTATGTACATTGTAGTAAAAAAAACACCCAGAATACGCCTTCCAAAAAGAAACAAACTTTTTACAACATTCTATCTAGAGTAAAAGGTAATTGTGATTCAAACCTAGTTAGACTGCCAGAGTTGTGATGTCGGTCAAGTATGGTAGAATGTTAGACATGGGATTTCGGGAACGCTATTCTAGTGAGTTTTTACATTTTGTTTTCCTTAATGTGCGATTTAGCTTACTGACTGCCAGGATAGCATAAAGACATAATGCTTGCTTAGTAGACCGCAAAGACTCACTCAGGCGTGCTTCCCCGGAAGCACTTTCGCATATATTATGAGACGTACTAAAACAACGTTGGAAACGTTAAATAAAAGATTAAAACATGAAAATGAATTTTCTTATGATTCTGAGGAATATATGGATAAGCTTCACGTTTCAAACGGCAAAAGTGACTAGAAAAATATACTCACAAGTCTTAGGCTAGGTGACGCAGTTTTCCGCTGGACGGCTGCGCATCTACTCTGCTAGTAAAAAGCTGCACTCTTGCGTTCGACTGTTGTATGCCAAGTTTGACCACGTTTTTGGGATGATGCATGGTTATGTACGATCTTTTTAATATAATTCAAAAGCCCCTATACTGGACCATCAAATCCTGAATAGCATATTATATGGAAACAGCAACTTATTGAGAGATTTTTCTCTATTACGAATTCCACAGACTTTGTGCCCAAGGACTAGCACAAATCAATGTGCAAAAAGTTCACTTCAATTACAAGCGCGGAATTAAAATTAGGAGACCTTGAAGCAGCTGCTGAAGAGAAAGGACCAGTCCTATATGTATGAAAAGTACCTCAATAAGAATAATAAATGACGAGAAAACATTTCTTTTGGCGGTTCCACGTATGTGCAATAACATAAAAGCCCTGATTCATAACACCGCAAATACAGTGGATGTGTTAATTCATAAGCTGCTAGCCAAAATTCTGAAATGTGCTTTCGACTCGAAAAGATTACTTAAGTAGGATGTTCGTTTTAATTAAACTGCTGCAGAACCCCCAGATTGTTTATTTTTACTTCAAAATACCGGCATTTTAAAAAGCTATTTTGCAGTGGTCTGCAAATTTATATTCCGCACGTATTAACTACCTAGATAGTATGCATTTGTCTAACTGATTTTTGATGGCCTTTAAAATTCAAATCTATTCCATATGGGAAATTCATAAAACATTTCTTCTTTTAACCATTTGGTAGACAATTACGTTTTTTCAAGTTGTGTTGATCGAGATAAAGTTAAGTTTGACCTTAAAAACAAGTCTCATCACAGAACAACTTTTGAACTCGATGTGCCGTCGCACTTGCATTCGGAGTTTCCAAAAGACAGGCAGCGTATTTTCCGTTTAGGCAAAAACGTTTATCTTTATATGCTATTAATAGCAGACTTAATGCGATTCATAAAAATTTATCAGTGGATATGAGCTTTATCGTGGACTTTACAATTAAAAGTAGTAGTCGCCGAGACACATTGTATCTTAGAATCTCACAGAATCTCATAACTAGAAACTCCTTTTAAACTGCTTTATACCCTTTCATTAAATATTAAATTTGAAAACTAGGTAATGCTTTACAAAGAGAGTAAAATAAATATTTCTTATGCATGTTTTTGATGCAATGGATTTGAATATTTAAGGTAATCAAAAATCAGTGATAAAACTGCATGCCACATAGGTAGTAATTGGTGAGAGAGTGTAACGTTTGCAACCCGCTGCAAAGACGCTTGTTCAAAGTTTTTACTGCATGGCAATTAATATTACAGCCTTACGTAAACAATCATTTTGAGTTGAAAATGCTTTTCGGGATTTCGCTTAGCATTGCATGCGTTAACACACCTACCGTCATACAATGAATTGGTTATTCTGCAGGTCCTGTTAGGCGTTAATTCAGAGAATTCATCTGATTTGATCGTTGGGATAAAAAAAATAAAGTGTTGCTCTCTCATGCGTCCGAATCCAATCAAACCCGGCATTTTTCGCAGTCGGTTTGAATGGATTTACTCGAATCTGCCGACAATGTGGATTGATTAAGTGGGTACTGCGGTCATCTGGCTTAATTCATTAGGAAATCCTGCTTCGCTAGTCAGTTTGTTGCATCAGACTTGGCACATCCCTTGCACCATAGTAGGCTGGGGGGTGGTCAACTTGACGCAAATGAACTTAAACAAAAGGATCCTGATGGGGTTTCGTAGCCCAGATGGTTTTAGCGTTGGCCGTACTCAAGTTGCGATCTTCATGTTTCGGATGTAACGTTTGCTCTTCATAAATTAGTCGTATGAATTAGTCGAGTTTGCTAAAATATTACATAAGTGTTATCTGTCACAGATGCCTCCCACAAAAGCAGGGACTTCCCGTAAACGTTTGCCTTTAAAGTTTTTGATGACGACTGCGTAAATGAGGCATTCTGCAACAAAACCGTCGTCCGAGTAAGCAGTGATAAATGATACTGCCTTTGAAAAATTGCTAGAATAACACAGAGTGACAGATCTTATGAAGTTGTTGCCGCAATTCTGAAATGCGTTTTCGATTTGGAATCACCACTTAGACGAGATTAGAATACTGATCATTATTGGTCATTAGTGAATAATTATTTTGACATGTCAGGGTACCGGCTTTTGAATATGCTTTTTTGGCCTTTTATAGAAACCGCATTCGGCAAAAAAGGACTACTTATGTGGCATACATTTTTCACATAGATTTTAAATGGTCCCCTATATGTTAACGTACTTTATCGAAAACATGCACATAAATAAGCCTTCTTTCATTTTTATGGTGAAAAATCACGCTGACGTTACCAGCTGTACTCCAAGAAACTGTATAGTTAGGATTGTTAGGGGTTTATCAGTTGTCATTAATTTCGAGCCCGATAGACCTTCGCAAAAGCCCTAAGGAATTTCACTCCACAAGTTGCACGCATTCCGCGTAAGGAATATCATAAATTCCTTTAAATCTTTAAGAAGATACCATATATACTTCATGAAAGTCTGCCATGGATATGGAGACTGATATTTAATCTCCTATAGAAACCACGCTCGATAAAAAATGACCACTTAAGTACCATGCAGTGATCATTGATTTTCAATTACCTTGTTCATTTAAATATCGTTTATAGAAACCACAACCAAAAACTGTTTTTTCTGTCGTTTGATAGAAAAACACTTTTTTATTTTATACCCGAAAAAGAAGTGTAATTATGTTTTTAAAGAGCTATCTTATTGCCAAATAATTTGGAGCCTGATTAGTTGTTGCATTTGCGCGTAGTTATTTCAGTCTACAAGGTGCATGCATTCCGCACAAGGAAAATCATATAAACTTTCATGCGTTTAAAAAGATACCATATAAAGTCTATACAATTTTGCGATAGATACAGACTATGTTGTACATTTCATGAGGAGTAGTGGTAAACGGACGAGTACAATGCTCCAGGAACGTACAATACAAGGTATTACAAAATCTCAAAATGACTAAATTTTTAAAACCGAATAATATCCTTTCTTTAAGCATAAAATGTAAAATTAACATGATTCTCTACCAAAAAAGCTTAATAGGGCCTATTTTGTGCATGTTTTCTATAAGATACATTTTGGTTTTTGGGACCAATGAAATTCGATGTGTAAAATGTATGATAAATATGTGATCATTTTTTACCAAGTGCGATTTCTACGGGAGGTCCGAAAGAAAGACATTTTTAGACCGACAAGTCGAAATTTATTACAGTATTGTGTCGCAAGTTAATCACTGCAATAAGCCACCTGAGGATTCCTTCCTTAAGGAAAACGCATTTTAAAATTTTGTGACATCGGAAACTCGCTGTCGGTCCTTTTAATAAGATGCGTACGGATTTGTGGCAGAGTTATTGCAGAATAATTAATGGGTGCTAATATATAATTAATCATGGTCATCGTTTTTGGTATGCACTGTTTGCAATGAACGAAGCGGATCATAAAATATGTGTAAATTTGCGTAAAATCTGAAACCTCTCAGAACCTGACAAAAATAGATCCAACGAAACTATCCATTGCTATTGAATGATCGTAGGACAGACGAAAGGCAAAATATCTCCTAAAAGCAATAGTATATTGGTTGCAATAAACAATCTTTAAAGTATTTGAAACGTTTAAAAGGCGTCAATTTATTTAAAATTTATAAAAGATTATAGAATCCACTAGTGCAATAATCAAAATAAATAGTCTTTTTATGACATTCAGGATGAATATCTATTCGGAACTAGTTTAAAATGAATTATGACGATAGGTCGACGGCCTTACATCTTCTTATGTTCATCGGTAAATCGCCTGACTAAAACCAGCGGTTTCTGTCGGACTACATAAATAAGAACACGGTGGGAGTAAAAGATCTTGCAAAGTCGCGTGTCGAGAGACCGGTTGAAAACCAAGAAAAGAGAGCGCTTACAGGTACTGTATTCCGTGTACTAAGTGAAATTTTTAAGCGGCACTGTCAAGTATTTTATGAAGGAAAGGGTAGCTATCAGAACGCCCTTGAACTGTCATTAAATGACTTACGTTCTTCGTGTTTTCTATTGGTTTCCCAAAACACACGTTCTGTACTCTGTGTCTGCACAATCCTTACAAAAACCATGCAAATAAGTTTTACTCAAAATATAATGTCTCATTTCTCATCGAAGTCTGTTGGCAAGCTGCGTCATATTTTTAGACCTCCTTAAAAATGAAAACTAAACGCCTAAAGTAAACTTTCATGGCCACGACATATGATAAGTAGACCCTCAAAAACCTGTCTGTTGAGTTGTATTCTAAAAAAGCTTTTTTGAGATAGTCTGATATTGCGTGTTCCTGTGTTATATTTATATGAGAAAGATCGAGGAAAAATGGCACATTCTGCTTAGTTTTAATTTTCTTAATAACTACGAATACACTTCTCAATTATGACACAAAAGCAATTCTCCATTTGTTTCAGCACTAATTACGTCTACCTAACTTACTTTGTGACTTTGTTCTATGACTGTATATGCACTTTTATGTGGCCATTTAAATATTAAAATAATTTTTTAACGGATAAGACTGTCCCTTTTTGTTTTTATATTACGTTTTTCAAGAAGTTAGACCGCACAGGAGGCATCTCGCATTCAGGATGCAATTTAAAATAGTCGCCCAATGACAAGTCTTTTCAATGCTCTTTTTAAAACGTTAGCATCTCCCCATGGCTTCCAGATGCATTGGAACAAAAGATCCTTGTAGAAGTGAGTACGACTACCAAGGGCATACAATCGCCCCGTTTTTGAAATACGAATTTGCAACAAGCAAAACTTTTTTAGTTTACCGAAAAAGTGCAGAATAAAACATTTGACGTCAAAAAGCGCTTCGCAGCATTCAAAACGACCAATATAATCTGCTCCTTAGGAGCAAGCAAATGATTAGATGCACAGTGAGGTGGTCTGAGATGCAGCCTATCCTTACCTTATCCGCGAGAAAAGGAGCTATTAGGGAATTATATTAAAACCCTTGCTGCTGAAAGGGTTCACAAGACAGCTTTTATGAAGGCGTCTTCTTAGGAGTTTACTCGTAACATCTGCCTGAAAAGGGACATTGTGGAACAACGTTTTCCTTTTGGTGATAAGTGTGGTGAGTTTTGCGGGTTGTCTGACAGCGTTCTTTTTAATAAACCTGTCGGGACCAGATTTTTCGCGAAGCATGTCCCGGTTTTTCTAAGTCTTTCCTAGCTGTCAGATAAAGTCTAGCAATTTGTTTCAAACACTGGACTAAATTTCGTTTTAGTTGGAGGTGTACGAAACTGGCGAAGTAAGCTTATAGTTTATACTGGTTTTTTGATAGGCTTCTTTCGGACGCTACGGCCAAGTCTCCTATTTAAAAAGGGCATCCAGGAAGGGCAGTGAACCATCCGTTTTTTATCTTCAACGTAAATTTGATGGACGAATGTTCCTGATTAATGGCATTTTAGAGATTAACTACGGCAGATTTGGCGGTTGAAATGGCAAAGATATCATTAACATAACGACCGTAATGTTTAAGCTACTTGTGCTAAACATCAGACAAGATTTCGTTTTTTGGAGAGATACGAAACTGGCGAAGTTCGTCCATTGTTTAGACCGGGTTTTGTCCGAGAGGGGTTCTTTCAGACGCTACAGTCAAGTTTTCTGTCAAGAAAGGCATCTAGGCAGGGAGGCGAACCATCCGTTTCTATTTCCAACGTAAATCTGATGGACGCATGCACCTGAATAAAAGCATTTAAGAGAACAACTACGGCGGATTCGGCGGTGAAAAAACAAGCATATCATCAACGTTGCGACTGCAATTTTAAAGCATATCAATCTGATCGCTTAGTAGAGATCTCTTTAGTGTTTACATAATGTCATCGGCTAAAAGAGTCTAGGAGACGAGCCGATAGCAACGCTGTCTTTGTGCCTATAGAGTTAGCTTTTAAAAAGGAATATTTTATTTAATTCGCATCTTAGTAACAATTTGTTAAGCGTTTTCGTCGGAGCTACAATTATCAGCTGACTGGTTGATAGAAATTCTCAGATCCATTTAACTGCCCGAAGGGAACGTCTGTAAAAAGCGACGAGACGTTTGCAAGAACCGATGCTTGGTGGCGTGTACACACTTTTCCCTTGGCACAGCCACTCGCTGGATTAAGAAGATGACAAAGGCGTAATCATAATTTTAAAGCTACGGAGGGGACCGCGTGTCAATTCGCAGTGCATGGCCACTGTGGTGGAACCAGCGGAGTTTCCCACCATCCGAGCAATAATATTAGCAAGCCTACTTAGCCCCTCGCTTGACAGAGAAAATAAAAAAGGCGCAAGTGGGTCTTGAAGCAAGCGCATAGACTGATACCTGATGTAACCTAGGCCGGCATATTAGCACTCCCCCAGGCATAATCAATTGCCGGAGTAAAGTAGTAAAGAAGGCGAAAACACGTGGTACAGTTAACGTTTGCGTAATCACACCCACTTAAATTGTTTTAGTTAGCTAACTACATTGCATCAATCAAATGGGGTTGCAGGACCAAACCACGCCAATTCCCTATAAAGTTTCGGATAATTTTGAATTTCACCTGCGGATGCACCAATGTCAAGGTTTTTCGGGTAACGAGCCGTACATTTTCCATTAAAAAAAACTAGCATATACCTCTATGCTGTTAAAAAGGTGTCATCTAATCCCCATAAACTTTAATGCTGATATAATCATGTTGTGTGTTTCAATGTTAACATCAAGCGGTGAAAAAATTAATGCTTTCGTAATACATAATCTTACAAATATCGTAATGGCAAACCTTTTAAAATAAAATATGCCCTTTTGATAACCCAAGAATTGCAGGACAGTCGTGCAGGATATTTTGTGCTTACTTTCTCTCAAGTATAGTCAAATTTGTAATGGCACCAAAAAGTAATGAGAAATTCATGCTTTACAACTACTCGTTTTTAACCGCAAATGATTATTGAGGTGGTTAGAAAAACTCGCATTCGATGGCCAACCTCGTGAAGCCTTTCAGTTTTGCTACACTAATTTCAGTACTACGAGACGGCATAATATTTAGATAAATATACTGCTTTAAAAACGGCCTTTACCAAATAATATATGCTGCGCAATTTCTATCACATAGCTCATCTTTTCTTATTAACCAAATACTTTATCGAGCTTGAAACACTGTTCTAAGTTTATGTTGTAAACTTCGAGGAAACTTCCGAGTTGAGCTGCGTTTGACGGGAAGGGAAAGTCGGTACAGACGAAGCATTTTAAGCTAACATTCACTGTCTCCCGTAAATTTTTAACACGCAGGATTTGATCTGCTGCAGTGCACGCCAACCACCATATCCTCAAATGATTGGGCGAAATAAGAGGAAAAAAATTAACTCTATCCTTAACTTGTGTAGGACTTTTCTCGAACGAGAGCAAGGCTGAATAACTGAGTCTGCCCCTCCCATCGCGTGAGCAGAACATAAATTTTGCAGAGTTAAAGGAGACACGACTAGTAACAACTATGTTGCGAATATCATATTTGTCCAGGATACACTACAGGCGATTAAATGGCTCCATGGCGTACGATCTTTAAAACTCTATCCGTAAATATTTTAATTGCCGAGAATCATGGTTGGCAAACAGCAGAGAGGTTAAACTGGCTATTTTTCAGTTGATGGCCACTGGCAGTGCCATAACGCAAATCCAAACTAAAAAGAGAATTTTTCCCTGTGAGCAACGCTTGCCCTCACCCTCCCCCCTTCCAATGTGTAAGGTACGATCGGTAGTGTTCTGAAAAACAGAGCAGTGGCGTACACAGATCTGTTTTCGTTCCCGGTTTTGGCCTAGAGCAGGTGCACATTATCACACGGCGTTAACGTTTAAAAAAAGTGTTGGTATAAAGTGCAGTTTTTCTGTTGAACAGTTACTGTATGGTCGCACAACGGCTTTTTGAGAGGTCTGTATTAGTAATTTTTACCTAATTGTGTTTAATTCTGCTTTCTATATCGTAGAAGTTTTTTCTTCGTTGATATTTTGATTAAAATAAAGTAAGTGAAATCCCTAATTGTTTCATCCATCAAAGCTTTTATTAACGGGTGACAATCTAGGCGTCGGTAATTTAGTTTCGGGCAAAACCCCCTAAATACGTCATCAGCTGTTAGCTTCATGTATAAATAATACTTCTTAATAATGCAGTGTTGAAAGCATTTCTTATTAGTACATTAGCTTGTACTTTAAAGAAAACCTCAAAATTAAAAATTATATTATTAAGTCCTCACATGAACAACGGATCAGTGATCTACAATGAACTGGCAAAAAGCTCTATCAGATATAATTGCCGTGAAGTGAAAACAGGAGACACAGTACGGCATAAATGCACGCACATATGCATATACATCAGTGTTGCTTACAGCCTGAGGGTTGTTTCCCACCAAAGAAAATCGTCTATGGTAGGGCAAGCCCTTATCTCCCTGCTGCGCGGCCATCAAATCGTCCTGCATCAGGTCCGTGGCTCGTGGACTTGCGTGCAGAGTTTGCATCACTGACCGCCCAGCCGTCATCCCAACATCTGGGCACTGATCCTTGCCCTGATGTTGCCGTCGCTCACGAATACGTTCCCGAATGCGACCAATAAAGGCATCAGAAATGAGGTTTTGTCGCCTCTCCGATAGACTCGCCTTGCGCTCGCGGATACTCACTGAGCCGAAATTAGGCAGTCTCGGCGACTCCATAAGGCCTGGCACCGGGGACTCGGGTTTGAGGCTTCCAGTGACTGGACAGATACCTGCCGGCTGTCTGATTGCGTTCTGGAGACGTGGCGAATAGGTAGGCTGCTTGCCGGACGCTGATGCCGGAGAAGGAGATGTCGGTGGTGCTGTCGGAGACATTTCGGACCGTTGAGTTCGTGTTGAATCCAGCTGGTGAAACTGCACTGGCTGCTGTCGGTAGGCGCCGGCATTTTGGAAGTTGGCTGTTTTCTGAAAGCTCGAAGAGAGTCTTTCCTGCAGGTTAATCTTTGATTCCTTTAAAAAGAACAAATGCATCAGCGGGCAGGAGTGCGGTAGGTAAACTCCTGGGAAAGCCGTGGTTAACTACCACCCTGACGCCAACTATGAAGAGGGTTGTAAGGGGTAACTCTGACCCTTAACCCATAAGCATTTAGCGAAAACCCAATCGTAAGCGCAATCCAAACCCTGGGTCCGTTAATCCCTAACCCAAAGACTCAAACCCCATTTCTAAATCCCAACCTTAGCCTCAACTGCAAATGCAGACTATATACCAGACTTAACAGCCTCGGCCGTAGGAATAACTCAGCTCCTTAATCTTACCCAACTCCAAACGTATTCCTTAGCCCGATCCGGGCAACTTTAACGTCAATAACGCTAGTTAAAATCAACCTCCGCGTACAGCGTAACTTATTGACGAATTTGTCAGGCGAATCGTTTTGAACCGCAGAACAGCCTTGCCAAAAAAGCTAGTGGAGACTGGAATTGCCATTCGCAATTAATTCGTTGTCGTCATCCAGGCATACGTAACCCCGAGGTTTACAATTTCTGGGGTTTGATTCGGCGACCTGTTGGTTAGAAGTCCAGCGTACTAGCCACTGAGCCATGAGCTCGTTATACTGTTGGTTGCGATCGGGAATGTACAATGGAAAGGGGCGCTTGCCGACCGCGCTACGGGACTCACTCGACCCGTTTTGCCTTGGGACCGAATCAAACCTGCCGAGATTAGAATACAAATTTTTGAAAAACTGTCCAATAGAGCAACACTCACTAATTTAACCTACAGTTTTTGAAAATCTTGTGGTCATGTCGTCACTTTTAAAAGCGGTCTGACAAGATAACCAAGTTCAGTGAGAAACAAGCATCCTGCAAGTGTCGCACTGAGCACTTAACTATACATGACAATTCGAAACTCTTACGTTTTTATTCACTTTCAGCATGCGCATTCAGAATGAAGATCGCTATATAGATCGCGGGCAGTATGAAGTTTACAACCTCGTATGGTCAGACTATCCACTCTGGTATTCTAACTTGATGACCCCATCGACCGACAATTTCCTCATTCTAGAACGGCTGCATGTGTACCACATTGTTACCTGACTCTTTTTCGCTGCATGGTCGTGGTTTTTGGATGAATGGCAGCCTAGTGCAAACGCGGATCACGTAAAGGTTATCAGTCGTATCATGTTATGGGCTAGTACTTTGAGGTCTATATGCGAATCAGTGTATTGCGTCAGTCGTTCGGGACAAAGGGATCAATTCGCCGGATGTAGTGCCAGATCTCAGGACGCAGTTTTCTGCTTAACTCGTACGACAGACTATAATGCCGTCGGTATGCCCTTTTCGGTAGACAATTAGCGCCGGTTTAAAGACACTAATCGGCCTTGCCTACGTAGCCGTGTCCGTTAATAGCGCAGGTAAATTCCCACATTGTACTCAATAGAAGGGTGTATTTCCTCATGGTTTGTAGATTATTTCTACGTTCAGAGGATACAACAGCCAATTAATCAACCCAAACGTGTGCAGTTTTATGAAGAAGGTGCCAGAGAATCATGTTTATTCCCTTGTAAAATGCTCGCAGATGTCCAGACAGAATCGAGAAACCAGTGCTGCAAAACAAATCCCCGTGTGACACAGAAAACTAAGATAATAGCTCGTGACCTATCTGATTATCTTCAACAAGTCATATGCAAATCTTCATCACATAGCAGTCGGGCCTCTAATCAAGAATCTACCAATAGAAGCATAGTGTATCTCCTGGCGATCTCAGTCAGGAGTATTTAAAGTCACTTGGATATGAAGCTACCTCGACACTGTCATGGATGTGTGATTGGTTGCTAATAACTAAACGAGTCAGAAGTTGTAATTTCGACATTATTTTCGAACACGTAATAAGATTTATCGTTGCGGCATTTTGCAATGTACACTCCTATCTTATTCTAAGAGATCCACTAAAACGACAGTGACTGAAGGGCCTTTTACAAACCGGATGAATGCTACATAGGCAAAAGTCGTAAAAAATATGTGACAAAAACGAAGATTTATAATACAATCACCTTTTTGCTTTCGAAAGTACTTTGACAGAAGACTTTAAAAAGTAAGAAGAATGGCCGCATATTCCGGAGACCTTGTCGTCGGACGCATAATTAAGAGGAATTGTCACAGCCGCGTCGATGCCGAATAATAGGGGTAATTGGACGCATTGATTGCTATTTGCACAAATGCCGACCAAGAAAAATCGCACAATTACACCGATAAAATAGCCGCAATCTACTTGAAGAACCCACTTTTACGATCAGAGATCTGTAAGTAATTTAAGTTCAGTAATTCCTTCCACATTCTCCGTTCTGCTCTGAGTTCACTCGCGAATTCCTCAATCTTTTTATTTATAGAAGAATGTTTTTTGGAAAAGCAGAAAATTTCCTTGAAGCACGCTACGCATTAGAAGAGGCAATTCATTAGTGGTCTGCTTGGTATTTCAAGAATTTTTATTAATGCCGTTCCAAACCTGATTCACAGCCGAGTACCTTAGAGATCAACTTTGCCAAGTACAATGACGCTGTTGGCTCCTAGAAACGCAGACGTGTCTCTTCACGATGGGGAGGTACTCTGTATATTCAGGTTCGTATTCAGTAACGGAGCAAACGAGTATGTCATTGAACCGTTCTTTTCGTTTACGAAAAAAATATGAAGTAACTTTTTTGCTAAACGCCTATCCCTTTTATACGACCTGCTTACTTGAAATCACCCTGTGACTTCTGAGTTGGTCAATGTCCTACAGCTTATGGCAGAACGGCGAAGTACGATGAAACACATATCCGGCTTTTTAACGGACAACTGGTCTCTGAGATTTGCAAGACAAAGCTCGCTAATTTTCCAAATTTGCGAACGTCTCTTGACCATTTAAATCGTGGTCTGTAGATGAGTGACCTCACTACGTCTGCCTGATGAGACGATGTCTCCCTTTCGTCCTCATACAGCGTTATCATTCTGCCCGAATAAATCAGACATGGTGTGTTTCGTTTACCACAATGTGCCATAGTACCGTCTCGAAAGAATACCGTTGTATTACCTGCAGACTTTCAATAAGTCTTGACAGTTCCTGACCCCGGAACCGCAGTTGTGAGAGTTCGGAGAGGGCTGTCAGAATGTTTTCCGCTCTTCGACGTGTTTCGTCCTCCTCCTGTTGTTCTGCCGACTCAGTTGCATTCTGTTTAAAAGACATTTAAAATAAGTGAGAATATAGAATGGAAAAAAGCAAGGACATTCCGAGAACTATTAAGCTACAAGGCGGTAGATGCATTTTAAATATGTCCTATACTGCTATTAACCTTAAGTATACTAATTGTCTCCAAGTTCGCGGTTAATTTCTACGGAAGTTAGAAAGCAACGATTTCTTAATCGGAGTATTTTCCAGAAAGTAGACAGGGAATGCTGGGGGACCAACTGATGAGCCAAACCCCTCGCAGCTGGGTCATGCTGCGTTAGAATATCGACAAAACACACGTGTGTTGGCTTTTGGCTACTATTTGCGTTGTTACTATGGTATCAACTAATCCTAAATTAAATTACTAGCTGGCTGTCGGCAGCTAATTAAATTTACACGATCGGTCTTTTTAATATACTGATCTACTCCAAGTTCGCAGTCATTTTCTAAGAAAATTAAAAACAACAATTACGGTCAAGTGTTACATGTTTTTCGTTCAGCACATTTTACCTCCTTTCATTTAGAATTAATTTTGGACAAATAACTTTCGCTCAACGTCTCAAATAAAGTTGCCTATGCTATATGAGATACCTCAAGGTAGGTCTGTTAACAGTGGCCTGCTGACTTGAAAGCCCAACATTGGTGCGCACATTTTGTCTAGAGAACATCCCCTTTGGTGTCTGTAAAGCAGAATCACATTATTCGGGCCTAGTTATAAGGACGCGTTGCAGCCCTTAGAACTTGGATTAAGATCTGCTGCTGGTATTCACCTGCTATTCGTCACTTTTTGATATTATGCTATGAAAACCTAATTCCTCAGTTCATACAGGTGCTAATTATCAATACAAAGGGAAAAATACACACAAAAGTAAGCCTTTTGGTATTGCGCTAGTAGATCCGCAAAAAATCGTTGTTTAACGCAAGACTCACGGATCAGTATCTTAACTTCCATCGAACCTGCGTTTATTGAAGTTGCGGTTTTTCTAGATCTTGCTTAACTAATGACTCTTGTTAAGGAAAGTACAGTATTTGTGGTTTCAATTATCAATTAAAGTTGCTTCCTTTATGCTGTGATGGCGTACTTTTCAAAAACATGCCCCTTTCAGGCCTGCCTAGTTATGTATCCAACCGCGGCTCTCAGTGACTCACATTTTCGAGAGGTTGATAGTTAACTTGGTCAACTTTATCGTCGTTTTCGTACGTCAGGCCACCCATTGAGCGAACACCGAACTCCTTGGGCGGTGGACCTTGAATGTCTTCAGCAGTCAGGGAAAAAGGCTTCGAAGATGTCAGTCCTGGCGGTCTTCGATGATTCTTGCGTCGTCTGCAAGTGCAGTTACAAGTGCACATCCTATCGGCTGGTATAACTGGATCCGTTTCCTGAAATCCATTTAATGCGATGGTATGCCTTCCATTCATTAGGCCTCTGGTAGAAAAGTACATGTATTTTTTTAATTAGAAAGTAAAGATACACACAGACCTTCAGCTATGGTGAGAAGGAAATACATCTGAGTTCAAAATCAGGCCTATGGGTTACCTGGATTGCATGTGTGCTGCTCCCTGGCATACGGCATGTCCAGATGCACATGAACTGGAAAAAGTTCTTGAGGAGTTTGGATCAGCAGTTAAACCACGCTCATCTGCTTTCGATTACTCGTTTTTGACCAATCCGATTTTTACTCATGCATCCGTTGGTTAGCGAATTCAACCAATCATTTGGCTTGCAAACTCCTCGTAAAACGGTCTGCACTATTTTAGGTTACCAGCGAGAGTACTTTCCCTCCGTGATCATAGTCTCCAGGAGTTTTTTTATCACACCATACGTCGAAAGTTAAGCTAGAAGTATTACTTGGTATATTTTTTTCGACTTTGGAGCAATCAGTTTAGAACATTTTGTTTATTTGGGTAATAAATTAAAGAACAGGCAATTTCTAGACGGTCGTACTAGACGCTACGTATGGTGCATTGGTTAGTCTGACGCAGTATTCAGGCAATCTCTGGAAAAGTATTATAACCATTTTGCAATTTAACTCGCTATTTCCGCAGAAGTTGAAATGGCTGAAAACATATTAACTGAGGAAACGTAAATGGTCAACCCGTATAGAAAAAACACAGTTTTCTGCACTTTCTACTACTGCTAAGAACACTGTTAACAATCCGAATGGTCTTTGGTATCCGTTAAAATCAATGCATGTTGCAAAACGGTCCACCTAGGTTTCGGTAACCATTTACACAGATGATCAGAAATTTATCATGGTTTTGTAGTCGACTGTGAGCGTCTTACCTAATACCCTCAAGCAAATAAAAGTATCAGGAAACCTAAATGAAGTTATTTTTAATTTTTTTCTTGAAGAATAACTTCCGTTTTATGCTCTTTAACGATGGTTTCATTATGGTTAATGAAGTTCTGAAGAATATGTTAATGCCCACAGAGGTAAACAACGAGACCTGTCCTTCATAAAGGCGCTTGCAATGACAGAAGTATTCTTTATAGAGAGTTACACGTTTTGTTCAATATGCGGCTGATTTTGCGAGGTATTGAAAGGATGCAATATAGGAACGTGCAGCTGCAAGGCTGCTGTAAAACCGATGAGTTAGAGCGTAGTAGTTTTCACAAACAGCTCTTCGAGCAGACGAGTTCTTAGATATAAAAGCATCCAACTCCGGTACCCCTTGGTAATTTTAAAAGGTTTTGCTACCACAATTCTTATTATGGTAGAGAGACACCCACCGATCCTTTATAGAACTCACTCGTCCCGTGGTGCCTTACGGGACCTCTCTCGAGCCCATTTTGCCTATATCATGCGCCGCCGTGCGATTGCTCGATAGAGAATCCGCAAGGCACAACAGGACGAGTGAGTTACCTAAAAACAATCATTCATGATTGAAACCGACAAGATAACGGGACCGTGGATCAGTGATTAGAGGCGTTGTACTTCTGACTTATAGGTCGCGAGTTCGAACCGTAAGTGTTGTACACTGCGGGACTGGGTATGACTGTATGACGACGGCTGATAAGCCAGAAATGGACATTTCAGTCTCCCTTGTCTTTGTCGGTAATACCATTATACAATTCCTAGTTTTTGCAAGTGTGTTAGTCCCTGAGGTCCTTAATTCCGAAATGTCTAAATGTGAACCAATAATATTTTGGAGATATGAGGACGCAGAATATCTGTCTGCGATGATGTGAAGTAGCTCAACAGTTTCGAATGCCGGGCTGACTCTAAAATTTGTTTTTAGACATATGCAGACTGCAGTAAAACAGGAATTTGTGTTTTGCGGGCAAACAAACAACCATGTCATGTAAAACAACGCATATTTATATAAATCTCAATGGCAATCATCAGTATGCAGTCCAACATTTACCTATAAAAAGTTATTATTTCCCATAGTCGACCCCTCTCTATCATTTATTTAACCATGTGCAATTTTTAAAGTGAAATGGTTATTTGGTTTTTGATGTTTTACCGTTTTGCGTAATCTTTGTGAATTCTTCACAAAATAAAAGCGCTTACCAATTTTACCGAAAATACACAAAATAAACGCTTTTTATGGCTACTTTACTGGTTAGTGCGATTTAACTTCCACTGGCGCCGTTTTTAATTACTGCTTAATAAAAGGTATAAATTTAGATTTAAAAGTCTGCAAGTAATACTGCTCATTCATCTAGCTAGCAGTGTTACGTACAGGGGCGTTTTTAAGGCTTTTAATCGGATGGCAGTCAAATGTATGATCACGTGGGCGCATTCATTTCTTAACAGCTGGCAGTATACCGACTTCAGTTGACGACCCCTTTAAGCACAAAACAGCACGTTTAGATTGCGGGTGTTAAGATGCATTTCGCACCAGAACCTTTTACCTGCCAGACTCATCCACACACAACTATCCACATATGCATGTCCCAATGCCGCGGAGTTTTAGGCGTCAAAAAGCCTTTTACCGCTGTGGTGAGTAAAACGAGAACGTGTCTTCCCGTGCTGGGGCAAATTTTAAATTGCTCCAAAGGCAGCCAAAAAGGGGGGGGACAATTTCACAGTCTAGAGCTGCGTTGCTAATCTCTGGCGTAGCGTGACTTATTTTAATGTGGCATGAACAGTTGGGGCCCTAAATCTTCATGTTCCATAAAGAATTAGTGTAACAGGGCATTCAGAAAGCAGGGAATATGTCAGAGAAACTAGCTGAACCAAAACACTACTCGTAGATGTTTGCCTTTGGTTGATTCTACAGTTGATTAACAGCAATGGCCGGAATTTTATAATTAAGTTTGATCTTATATTTCGGCTTCTAAAAAACGCGGATCGCCTTACTCCTAACGGATATAAGCCGCGTTAATTGAAAAATATTAGCCTTCATTAATTGGGCAGATTTGCTGATTGCAAATTGTATTTATATAGGTTTTTTGACCAAGACTTTTTGGGCAAATCTCGAGACTGGTGACCTAGAAAACTGCCCTTTGATGGACATTTACACAAAGGTGTCTTTTTTCCAATAAATTTTAAGCCAACATACGTCGAATGCAGTCCGTAATCTGGATAAAGTTGATTGTATGCATTATATGTTTTTTGTAAAACAAATTCTGCGATCGCGTTTTTACATCATATTAGGTTTCTTGTCCAACGTGTGCTTTGCTGCCTTGGTGGCTTTCACGTTCACTGGTGGTGGATATCCCAGTTTTACAACCTCTAGTTTAATGCAGGTTGTACGTATATTTTTGGAAAATACTGCAGTCGCAAATGATTTCACTTGCTGTTCTTGTCCGTCTTTTAGTATAATGACATGCCGTTTCTACACGCATGAGTGTTCCCTACGTTGTTGGCTTTACTGTCTGAAAGGGCAGAGCAACGGAAATATCTCTTTTTGAGTTTAAGTGTCCCAAGGGGAGACTTCTTTGAATGGATAATTTGTAAATGCTGCTGTCATAACCGTTATCTCTGTTCGTTGAACAGGGGATAATGAGTTGGCTATCCAAGTTTTACAGTATGTGAGCTAACTCGTGAAATATCATCCAAAATGCCTAAATGCATTTTCGTTTCGAAAGGATTAATTAAGTAGAGTTGTAGAACTAGTCAGCTTGCAACGTAATTCTATAATATTTTAGGTACCTTAGCACGCCGGATTTTGAATGAACCTCCTTCAGGTTGCATGCGAAAACTACAAACTGTAAAAATGACTAATAACGTTGCATTAATTCCTTTCATTGATTTTCGATGTCCCTAAAAGTCCAATCATATTTCTTAGAAAACTTGCGTAAAAACATTCATTCTATTGCTAATTTGGTAAATAATTACGTCTTCCTCTAATTTTATACTCGAAACAAGAGCATAATTTGGTTTTAAAACGGTTTGTATGTAATACTTTTAAATACCATGAAATGGCCGATCATAAATCATTATGTCACTTAATGTACCAATGTGGCTTGTAAAGTTAACAATATGGATCAAATCCACTGCTAAATTTTTGAACCCCATATGATCTTTCTTGTATGTTATAGAGAAATGCGTGATTTGCCATACGCAGAAAATATACGGCTTGCAGTTTGGAAACCCCGAATTGAAGTGTTACGGGAGAGCGGGTTCAACATTATTTGGGAACTGTAAAGATTTTTGAAAACCCTATTATAAGTTTCTTTTGAGTATTAGACTGGAATAAGGCGTAATTATCCACCTAATGGGCAAAATAATAAATATTTTTATGCATGTTTTCCATTAAGTATAATTAAATTTTCCCGTTGATTGTCAATGGCCTTCTAAAGTTAAATATATTTTATAGGAACCACGAAAAAAAACAGGCTTTCCATCAGTCTTTGTATAGAAAATCGTCTTTTCTTGTTATTGTATACAAGGAAAATGTGTAATGTGGTTTTAATTAAGTTTTCAAAATGCTGAATCATTTAGAGACTGATCAGTAGTTGCATTAGCGCTTAGTTATTTCAGTTTACAAGACGCATGCGTTCTGCGCAAATAAAATTACATATTCTTCTATGTTTTTAAACAGATGTCATACAGATTCCATAATACCTTGCCATGGATGCAGACAATGATTGTACATTTCATGAGGAGCGGTGATAAACAAAAAGATGCGACGCTTTTTGTATGGACGTTACGAGGTCTTAAAAAATCTGATAATGAGGAACTTTTTTTAAACCTGACTACGCTCCTTTCTAGGGCATAACAAATAATATGTGATTCTCTTCTAAATTGCCAAAGGAAATCATTTTTGTTTAGGTTTTCTACAAGATATATTTAAATTTGCAAAGCCCTGGAAAAACAACGAACAAATGCATGCCACTTATGTTGTCATTGTTAGCCACGTGCAGTTTCTACAGGAGATCGGAAAGCAGTGAATTATAA